TCTAGTATCATTAATATCCCACCTTTACTCAATGGATACGGAGTGGGAGGGCCGACTGCTTCAATATCTGTCACTAGTTCACTTGACTCTGGCCTGTCCTGTGGATAATTTGCTAAGCATTTCTCAACAATTGGTAGTAAGGTATGCCCCGAGGGTAAGTGAGAAAGATAGCTTTGGCGTCGCTTCCATTCCGATACCTGCACAAACTCGAGTGTTGGCTGGTTAATGCTATTTTCCTCGTTGCCATTTGAGAAGATGTATTGCTCTGACGGTATAGGATACTGCTGACTAAGTATGTGGATCATAATGCAACCAAACGAGAATACATCAAACTTGACATCATACTTCCTTTGCTCCTCTCTATCATCTGGAGAAAATAACTCTGGCGGCATGAATATGAAGCTACCGTAATCGAGATTTGTCAAAGATGGGTCAAAGAATGCTCTCGATGTGGCAAGGTCAGCAATCTTGGCTTGGAAATGCTCAGTGAGGAGTATGTTGTTACTAGTCAGCCCAAAATGAATGATTGGCTTTGTTTGAGAGTGAAGGTACCTCAGACCTTGCGATATATCTAACATCAACCTTGATTTCATCCAGTCTGGTATTTTATGCCGTTTGTCGTCCAGTAGGACAGATAGTCCCAATGGAAAATATTCAGTGACTATTGTGAGATCGGGATGACCAACTCCAAGGAGTTGGACAATGTTAGGGTGCCTTTGTCGACTGTGGAGTATAATCTCGTGTGAGAGCTTCACTAAGAACGCTTGCTTGCTGTCTTCATCTGGTTTGTTTATTTTAGGCTTCTTTCCAGTACATTTGAGACCCCTAACCTTCACTTCTACAGTTACAGAGCGACCTCCACTGCTACCAATGAGCACATCTGAATGACTAACATCCTTGAGAAGAAGATGATCAGGAACGGCTATCATATTCCCTTCTTACTAAATTCTTTGCCCAGTTATCATATCCCCTTGTACAAACTACAACGCTCCCTCTACTGTTGCCTTTAGTCCATTATAATAACTTGGCCCACATAGAGCTACTTATTAATAGTTATGACAGACAATAAACATTGTAAGTGATATATACATGATATTATGATGATTTGTACAGTGTCTCTTAATCCTCCTTTCCTTTCTAATATTGTTTTTACAATTTTCTCCATTTCTTTTGAGCGTGATCTTGATAATATTAAGGATCCTATCATGTCTGTGACTCTTGATCTCTGTGTCCAGGGAGGTCGTCCAGGGTTTGAGTACCAAAATCAATACAAGTCGAAGACTCGAGGAAACTAGCTAGAGACATCTCATCATTTTGAGCCTGTGGGGGTATCCCTGGTAATGGCTCGGACCAGTCTTGAGAGGACGTCGTTTGAGTCCCAAACTCGCAGAGAGAGACGGTGTTGGTCTGTACGCTTTGAGAGGAAAGGAAAGAGGAAGAGGAGGAAGGAAATAAAGACGAGGTGGATGACGATTCATCGCTAGCAGCATAGGGTAAAAGGAACTGATCGGCCATTAAACAGGATATGTCAGTCTGTGTTCCAAGATCAAGCAAATCATTTAAAGTACTTTCGGCGTCTTCTTTCTCGTCCTCTCTCTCATCGTCCCTAGTACTGGCTGATGGAACTGCCTGTGTAATCGTGGCCTCTGATTTAGAAGCAAGTGGCCGTATCGGGAGTACATTCTTTATTATAATAGGAGCAATGATTATAGGTGGGATTGCAGGTCTAGCTTGATCATTTCTATGATAAAAAGTATAAAAAGTACAAAGTATTAAACCGTGATGCATAATAACATGACAACTACAGTAAACACGAATAAAATTCCAGTGTATGCTTCCTTGCATACTTTTTCTCATTGCTTTTATGTCCATGTCCACTTCTCTTCTGATGTTTATAAAGAGCATTACTGGACTTGAATTGATCCTCACAGGAGTTGCATGTGAATATACGTCCACATTCCTTGACGTGGCGGCCATGAGCATCCTTCAATCCAAAGGACCGTCCACAACGAGGACAAACAAATGACTTTGTACCATGAACAGTATTATAATGCTAAAGGAATACATACGTATTGTCTATAATAACAATTATGTTGTTTGTGATTATCATTCCTTCCCCAAAAATAATGCTAAATTAATTTAAAAAGCAACGTAAATGTGTTCACCTGCTTAAGTTGTCCAAGACGAGGGAAGGATTTGCCCCCATTACTTCTATTACACCCACTCACAGGGCAATAGTACTCCTTCATCATGTTACCAGGAGGAGATGGAGGGAGAGTGGGGAGAGGGACACCATGGTGGCGAGTCATGTGCATCCTGTAGCAGGAAGAACTCTTGAAGGTTTTGCTACAGTCTTTAAAGGAGCATGTTATCCTAGCCTCTACTGCTAGCTCTTTCTCATCAGGAATGATAGCTTGAGGAGTAGCAGCCATGACATTTCCTGTAACACCCTCTGGTATCCAAAGATATCCTGAAGTAGTGAGTCTAAAATACGGGATTCACGTGGTTTGAAAGTGAGAATTGCTGCAATGTCTAAAAGAGGCGCCAGTAAGAGGAGGGCATCCTCTAAAATAACTGTAAAAGAAGAGGCTTTGAAGTGCAGGTAAATTATTCTTGACGTATCTGTCTCTTTACTCAACCCCTGCAGACATGCCCCTCTTTCTCCCATACATCAAGAGCCTCTTTCACCATCTATCATGGCTGCCACTCCCTCCTTTCCCTCTCTCTCATCAGAATATGAAGAGCAAATAATGGCCTTCATGGACCAGTATGTGTACATAAATAAAGTTACTAGTGCTAACGGCAACAGTTTTTATTGGCCATCTTGGGCTTGGTGAAAACTAATAAATAAAAATTGAAAAATTATAATTTTTTGATTTCCCTACAGAATTGATTGTGGCATAGTTTGCAGCACCCCATTAACTTCTACTGGTCATCGCACTTCTCATCGTAGCACATCAAGAAAGAGATATTCACTCACAAACACTTCCATTCCATTATTAGACTTACCTACCACTCCTGACGCCGTTGAAGGCGTGGTGACCACACCCATCACATCTTCGTCTATAAATAACTCTATCAGGTAAAAATACTTCTTTATGTACGGATAATATTTGATTGTATTTTTAGTGTTTTGCTAACACCGCATGATAATAATGACAAACTCCTACTGAGTAACTGGGGTCTTCCTCAAAAGATACTAGATTGCTATAAATCTAAGGGCATATCAGTAATGTTTGATTGGCAAGTTGACGTCCTTACCCTACCCGGAGTATTGACTGGTCGTAACGTACTCTACTCTGCTCCTACTAGCTCTGGGAAGACACTAGTGGCCGAGCTATTGAGTCTAAAGTGCATTCTAGAGAGACAGAAAAAGGTTTTGGTGGTACTTCCGTTTGTTAGTATCGTCCACGAGAAGGTTAACCACTTGAAGAGCATGTTTGAGTCTGTTGGGATCAAAGTGGGCGGGTTCATGGGGAGCCACGCCCCTCAAGGAGGCCTAGCTAGCATTGATATTGCCGTGTGTACTATAGAGAAGGCAAACAGTTTAGTGAACCGACTGCTGGAGGAGAGAAGAGATGAGAAAGAGAACAATGGAGGTATTAGCCAATTGGGTGTGGTCGTTGTAGACGAGTTACATATGGTCGGCGATCGTTATAGAGGTTACCTGTTGGAACTATTACTCACAAAACTGCTCCACATCACAAAGAAATCAGACAAAAATCATCAGCCGATTGAACAAGGGAATTCCAGCATAAACCACCAAGTCTCCATACAACTGATTGGAATGAGTGCTTCTTTGCCAAACCTCAATACGTTAGCTCAATGGCTGGACTCTGCCCACTATACCACACACTATAGACCAGTCCCCCTCAAAGAGATGGTTAAAGTCGGCAATGAGTTGTATGATAGCACACTTTCTAGTGTTCTCTCTACCTTCCCTCGTGAGTCTAAGACTGGCAATGAGGATGAAGAGGATTTGGTGCACATCTGTAAAGAGAGATTACACAATGGACACTCCATACTTATATTCTGTCCAACAAAGGACTGGTGTGAGAAACTCTCTCTTAATCTTGCTAGACGTCACTTGACTGGAAATCAAGTGGATTCTTTTCTCAACAAAGCAGGCTTGATCAGCATTTGTGAGCAGTTGTATCACACACCGGTTGGCCTGGATCCTATCTTGGGGAAGACGCTTCCAGCAGGCATTGCTTTTCATCATGCTGGCCTGACACTCGATGAGAGAGAGATCATAGAAGGAGGCTATCGTAGTACTCTGATTAAGATACTAGTCTGTACCTCGACCCTTTCCTCTGGCGTCAATCTACCGGCAAGACTTGTCATCATACGGACGCCAATCTTTCACCAATCACTCATTGATGTCCAGTCTTATAGACAAATGATTGGACGTGCTGGACGGAAAGGGATAGATGAAGAGGGCGAAAGTATATTGTTTTGCAAGTCATCCGATCGAGCAAAAGTTCAGTTGCTTCTTTCATCAACCTCTAGACCAGTGACAAGTTGCTTGTATCTCTCCCCCTCCTCCTCCTCTTCTCTTCACTCTGCTAATGAGAGGGATCCATTGAATAGAGCAGTGTTGGAAGTAGTGGCTAATGGTATGACACTGGGTTATTCTGAGATATTGTTGTATCTCTCTTGCACACTGCTGTGTGTGGAGTTGGTTGATGAAGAGAAGAGAAATAAAGAAGGTAATGTTTGTACATATTCTGAAGCATATTAATGCCCTTTTGATAAACTTTTGAGTTAATACAGGTTTAACTATTGAAGAATATACAATTATATATATTTTTTAATTGGCTTTGAAAATACTGCTTAATGCTCTCTTATGTATAATCATACATTACATGTAATTTTTAGATTTTTTCTTCTTTAGATATTACTGATGAGATTAGATTGATTCTTGACGAGTCCTTAAAGTATCTGCTTGAGAATGAGTTCATTAGTAAAACCTGTTCCAATAAGGAGACTCCTGGCTCAGAGAGATACACAGCTACACAGCTTGGAATGGCTACCATTGCTTCATCTCTCTCTCCTCGTGAAGCACTGGTTGTCTTTAAAGAGTTTAGCAAAGCACGACGTTTGCTTGTATTAGAAAATGAACTACACATGATCTACCTAGTAAGTACATATTAGACATGTACAGCATACATACACTTTAATGTCTCGCCAAAAATGGCTCCTTTCTTTTATAAATTGTTTTGGTGGTACATATACGTGTTCTTATGTTGTGTAGAAAGTTTGAGCGTGTTCCAATCAAAATTGGATTTTTTATGAATTTTTAAAGTTGCTCAAAAATTAAGCCAAAGTCTCTGTACTATAGTACAGTGTCTTTGGCCAAATTTCGCCAAAAATGAAAAGGAAAGAATTCTCCATTTTTATAATTTATTCTGATGCATATACATGTTCTTATGTTGTGTAGCAAGTTCGAGCGTGTTCTGATCAAAATTGGATTTTTTATGAATTTTTAAAGTTGCTCAAAAATCAAGCCAAAGTCCCTGTACTATAGTACAGTGTCTTTGGCCAAATTTTGCCAAAAATGAAAAGGAAAGAATTCTCCATTTTTATAATATTTTCTGATACATATACATGTTCTTATGTTGTGTAGCAAGTTCGAGCGTGTTCCGATCAAAATTGGATTTTTTATGAATTTTTAAAGTTGCTCAAAAATCAAGCCAAAGTCCCTGTACTATAATACAGTGTCTTTCGTCAAATTTCGCCAAAAATGAAAAGGAAAGAATTCTCCATTTTTATAATTTTTTCTGATACATACATGTATACATGTTCTTATGTTGTGTAGAAAGTTTGAATTGACTCCAATAAAAATTGGATATTTGAAATTGTTCAATAATTAGGTGCCATGTACATAGTACACTATATTTTATCAGTAATGGCTAGGACAGTATTTGCAAAATTTTGCCAAGGATTGAGCTAATTTTAACAATAATAATTATCATGTTTTTTTCCTACAATAGGTGACTCCAGTGAGCATCGTTAATCAATGGCCTTCAATCGATTGGTACAAGTTTTACTGTATATGGGAGCGGCTGGCAACAGACATGAAACACGTTGCTAGTATAATTGGAGTACAAGAAGGATATATAGTCAGAGCTCTCCAAGGAAAACCTGCCGAGAGAACTCAAGCTCAAAGAGAAAAACTTCTCGTACATCAAAGGTTTTTCACTTGTCTGGTGCTTCATGATCTCGTGAAGGAGAGTGGGCTTGGGCCTGTTTCTTCTAAGTATGGAGCATCTAAAGGTTTTCTGCAAAGTCTCCAGTCAGCAGCTGGCACATTCGCTGGAATGGTAACAGTATTCTGTAATCGGTTGGGCTGGAGGAATATGGAGATGCTGTTGGGACAGTTTCAGAGTCGGCTCGTATTTGGAATAGAAAAAGAACTTGTTGATCTAGTAAGAATATCAATACTGAATGGAGCCAGAGCTAGAATACTCTACAATAATGGATACACTTCTTTATCTCTTCTAGCCAGAACTGATCCCACTGCTATTGAGTCTGTCCTCTGTAAAGCATTTCCTTTTAAGAGCAAAGAGACAACTGGAGCTCACTGGTGCCCTAGAGAAAGGAGGAACATGTCTGACCTTGAGGCTGCTCAGTTGATAGTACACGAGGCAAGGGAACTATTGAGTGATCAACTGAATGTACCAGCAGGAGCTGTGAGTTGGGATCAGGAGGAGAAAGAGGTTGAGGAGGAGAAGGGAAAACAAACCGGAGGGAATGAGGTGATGGTCACACCTTGTATATTATCTACAAGGAATGCAAGGAAAGAACTCAATAATAGAAAAACTGATGTAATGATATCAAAAAGACTTAAATTAGAAAATGAGGACCAATGCTCGCATGAGCTGGTTTTGAATACTAATCAATCAATCATTGTTAAACCAGTTACTCCAGTTCTTAATACAGGTCAGGGCAGTTCCATGGACCTGTTTATGGATTACGAATCATCTCCTACTACCCAATACCACTGTTTCTCTAATAATGATACAGTTGATCCTGACTTTCTACAGCTCTCATCCAATTACACTCATACTTGCTCTGGTATAGGTATCACTGATCTCAGTGGGTCTCCTCATCTTTTGGATTTATTTCTCAAAGAGACGTTACAAAAGAATTGTCTAGCATTCTCTGTTGCTGTAGCTAAAGGTCAGAAAGGAGTTGGTTCCAATTTCATTAAGAAAACTACAGCTCAAAAAGGATTGAGCATAGGGAATGAGGAGATATTGGGAGTTGCATTTAGCTGGAGTCAGTCAAAGGAGTCTAGCATCATTTATTATTTATCATTATGTGAGTCTAATGATAGTGCTACTAACCATGTTGATCCTACCAATGGCAGCTTCTCACTTTCTGTCCCTCTCTCATCACGGCTTCAAGCTCTATCTACTATAATCTCAGCTAATGGTAATCACAAGCTTGTTGCTATTGATATTAAAAAACAAATACAGTATTTAATGTCACTGTGTGATGTTCCTGTCACCAGGCTGTTGTGTGATCCCAGTGGTGCTCTCTGGATAATGGATCCTGATTCCAATGAGAAGACTCTTAGCCAGTTAGTGGCAGCTGCTGATAATAACGACAACCATTCTCAGATTTTATCCCTTGCTCTTGACTCTCCGCATTCATTTTTAAAATCTGCTGCAGAGTCAATGTTAGCCTTTGATTTAATGGCGTCAATAGAGGGGCCCCTGGTGAGCAGCGAACTAGCCCATCCTTTCTTTACTATTGAGAGCCCAATACTTAGTGTATTAGCTAAACTGGAATTGAATGGTATTGGCTTCTCTGAAGAGAGGTGTGTGGGGCTAAAGCAAGAGCTGGAAACTCTTCTGAAATTGCTAGAAAATAAAGCGTTTGAGATAGCTGGACGTTCTTTCACTCTGTCGTCAGCTGAAGATGTTGAGAGAGTTTTGTTTAATGAGCTCAAACTAGAGAGTAATCCTAAGACAGCCTTAAATAAAGACTCACTAGAGAAAATGTCTTCAATGCATCCATTGCCTGGACTGATACTAGAATGGAGACGCTTGTCCAGCACTTTAAGCAGGACAGTGTGCCCATTATTAAAGAGCAGTAATAGAAGACAATATTATAAAAAGCAACTCTCTTCTCGGATATATTCACATTCTAATACCCACACAGCAACTGGTCGGGTTATAATATCTGATCCTGGTCTACAAATGATACCTAAGGATTTTACCATTAAATCGGTAGCACTCCCTTCCTCTTCTCACCCTCTATCCTCTACTCTAGTGTCTGTCAGAGATGTGTTCACTACTTTTCCTAATGGAGCCTTTCTCTCTGCTGACTATTCTCAATTGGAGTTAAGGATACTAGCACATTTGTCCAATGATCATAAACTGTGCAGTATTTTTAATGAAGGAGGAGATGCTTTTTGTAAGATTGCTGGTGAATGGTTTGGTCTTGAGGAAGACAATATCAGTGACAAGCAGAGGCAGCACACAAAACAAATGTGCTATGGAATTATATATGGCATGAGTACAAAATCGCTAGCAGAACAACTTGATGTCACTGAAGATGAAGCAGAGAAGTTTATGGATAGTTTCAAGTCCAAATACACTGGAATGAGCTCATTTATCACTACTACTGTACAAGAATGTAGGGAAAAGGGATACATCAAGACTCTCTTTGGACGCAAGAGATTCCTACCACTCATAAATTCAGAGACGTTGAGTGAGCGCTATCATGCTGAACGTCAAGCAGTCAATTCAATGATCCAAGGAACTGCATCTGATCTAGTAAAGAAAGCAATGATCAGCATTGATCATAGGCTACACAAATCTGATTTTATCACATACTGTACTTCGACTACTAGTACTAATAGTAATATGGCATTGTTGGTGCTTCAATTGCATGATGAGTTAATGTATGAAGTACATGAGAATGTACTAGAGGAGGTCGCTAGACTAGTACAAGAAGAGATGGAGGCTGTTGCCTTTGGAGTATTGAGTGTACAATTACCAGTTAGGCTTAAAGTAGGGAAATCATGGGGTCATATGGAACCTCATATATTTAAATATGGTAATAGAGAGGATTAGATTTTTATCACACTAGATTTTTATCTTGCATACCGTACTTTTTAATTATTAATACTATTATTTATTTTATGTAGAATTTTTTAAAGATTACATAAGAAATTGTTACTTCTATTTTAAAGTTAATGCATGCAATATTTTGGGTCCCAGTTTAGTAATGCTTCCAGCTCCAATAGTAATAATAATGTCGCCTTCTTTGGCCACTTTCACCACTCCTTCCAGTATATCTTCATCACTACTCATGAAAATGCTACCAGGGACAACATCTGAGAGTGTTTTGCCTGTTATTCCACTAATGGGGTCCTCCCCAGCCGAATAAATCTCAGTAATGTATATTACATCTGTTGCTTCAAAAGACGTAGCAAATTCTTTCAAGCAGTCTTGTGTCCGAGTGTACCTGTGAGGCTGAAAAATCCCAATCAAACGTTTGCCAGTGTATCGTTTTTTCAAAGCAGCCAGCGTTACAGATACCTCTGTCGGATGGTGAGCATAATCATCATACACTAGTATACCTTTGACCTCTCCTTTCCTTTCAAGACGTCTCGAGACTCCAGTAAAACTTGAGAATGCTTCACGTAAAGACTTCTCTGTTAGACCCAAATCAATGCACATGCCCCAAACTGAAGTTGCATTGAGAGCCTGGTGACTACCAATCATTGGGAGTTTGATGCTTTTAAAATGGTGACCGGAATGTGACACAGAGAATATCAGACCTGTGTTTTCTTGGCATACATCATAAAGCTGCCAGTCAGCTTTTTCTGACACACCATAGCTTTGACCTTGCAATTTAAGAGAAGAGAGGACAGGGTCATCAATACACCAATATAAATTCTTCATCTGAGATGCAAATGTTGTAAATCCTTTGACAAGGGTTTCTTTATTTTTCCAGTAGTTCATATGATCCTCTTCAATGTTGGTAATGATCCCACCATATCCTTCAGTGTATTCTGTAAACGAGCCATCACTCTCATCAGCTTCTGCCACAAAGTAGCTCCCATTCCCATGACTGCCATTTATACCAGTGTTCTTCAGTATCCCACCCACGGCATACGATGGCTCCAAACCAGCTGACATCAGTACCCATGTTAACAGAGCTGTCGTTGAGGTCTTTCCATGCGTTCCAGATACAAGGAGTGATCGTTTGCCCTCCATTAGATGCTTTAAGAACTGAGAGCGATGAAACAACCGACAGTTCATTGCTTTAGCTGCCTGAAGTGCTGGATGGTCCTTACTGACAGCTGAGCTGTAAACAACTGTCATTGAGGGATCAACATGGACACCGTCTCCTATGTGAATTGTTGCCCCTTTATCCCTCAGCTCCTTAACAATATCCGTGTCACTCCTATCTATTCCTGAAACTTTTAATCCTCCATCTAATGCAATGCGAGCCAATGCACTCATCCCAATACCACCTATCCCGAGAAAATGCAAGGGAGAATTCTTGAGCTCATTATTGGACGCCATATTAAGACACACCCATTCAACCACGCCTAGCTACCCACGTGTAGTAAATTGAGTGAAAGCCTTCTGAAAGGAGAAAACTCCAGAAGATTTCTCAACAATAGTGGGGAGATGTCTGAAGAGAAAGTAAAAGCCTTATGGCATTGTGCTTGATGTTATTTGTGTTATTTTATTAAAGGAAAAAGTCAAGACGTTGCTCCTTCAAGCTCTCACAGAAGAGGAGAGCTACAAGACTGGAGAGCTGGAGGAAGTAGAAATGAAGATAATGCAAACAAAAATCATACTCCAGAAACTGAGACTGAGCCTACTCTGTCGGGAGAGAGAGCTGACAGAACAGCATCAGTCGTGGAGCCAGTTTGAAGAACAGTTTGAGAGACTTCATGGAAAAGATGAACAAAAAGTACAAGATAAGGACGAGGATATTCTTAAAACAAGTATTATCATGAATGGTACTGAAACGAGCAATAATATTGACTCAACTAAGAAAGAACTAACTGATACGAGACAGAAACCAAGTGACCGTCTCCCTTTAAATGAGCCTGAAGAGAATGAGTCAAGGTTTTACATCAAACGTTCTATAGTAGTAGGCAATACATCACAGTACCTTCTGAAGAGATTAGAAAGACAGACTAGTGAGAGGGTGACTCATAAATGGATGACGTACGTCCGTTCCATGACCGACCAGCCACCACTGGAGAGCTATGTAAAGAGCATTACCTTTTTCCTTCATCCTACGTACGCTCCCAATGACATTATTACCATCAGTCGTCCGCCGTACCAGTTGATCAGGTTTGGTTGGGGTGAGTTCCCAGTTCGTGTCCAGTTACAGTTTATTGATCCATTAAACAAGCCAATCGATGTGCTCCACCCACTCAAATTAGATCAGACACATTCCGGGGAGCAGATGCTCGGAGCTGAAACGATTGCTAATATTCAGTTGGTACGTCCTCAGAATAACGAACAACAGACAAGTTCTCTTTATCAAGCACCACCTCCCTCACTTTCTCCTCCTCTCTCTGTCTCTCCTTCTAGAATCTCTCGCTCTCTCTCTCCTCCTTCATCGCCTCCTATCTCACTAAGCAGTTTTCTAATTCCTTCATTACAGGCTTCTCCATCATCTAGCTTTATACTACCATGTCTTTCGTCTTTACCTTCATCTCCAGTGCCTTCCTCTCCTCTTCCTTTCCCCTCTTCTCCTCTACTGCCTCCTTCTCCCTCTCCTCCTCCTCCTCCTGTTGAGTCTCAGTCATGCCCTCCTTCTCCTTCATACGTTACTGTTCCTATTACTCTATCAGCGAATGCCATTCTTCTTGATCATGATTACCACAGGCAGACTTTAGTGAGGAGAAAAGAAGATGTCCCTTTGCCTAAACCAGTCCCAGTCCCAGTCTCTCCTAGTGATGATAACATGTTACATGTGATTGTAAGGCAGTTCCCGCTGTATGGGTCAGATTACACCTTCTCGGCCTTTTCTCTGGAGCAGTACAATAAATGGAGTCTTCCCAAGCAGCGTTCATCAGAGTGGATGAGAGCCGTAGCCATCAAGGAATGCATTAAGAGCTCTTCTGCTTGGATCCATCCCATACCATCCACACGAGAGATTGTGAAATGGTGTTGCAGTCATGGATACACTCCACTGAAGGGCGGAGAGAGGTTTTGTAAAGTATGTGGTACTCAGATAAGCAGTGATGAGTTCACTCACCAGTCTTGCTATGAGCCGGTCACTCCTAGTCTCACTGAAGTGTGTACCACTATCCAGAGACTGTGTACCACCTCATCTAACGATGAGGACTCCATTACTAGCACTGATATTGATGTACTCTCTATCTCTGATCCTATTGGTCGCCAGCTCGCTCCACCTGTATCCGATATCATTTATAGGACTCCGCAGTCGCCTGCACTTCGTTGGATAAATATGACTGCTAGTGAAGTAGGTGTTGTGTTGCATCCAGTATCACATGACAGGATGCTGCTACATGTTGTTGATCACATGATATTTTCTGCTTGCTCTCAGTTTTTGTGCCAGTTGGTGCGTAGAGCTGTTGCCATTGAGACGGACGTGGGTTTATCAGAAAGGATATTGGTACCTCTACATGTGTATCAGGCTGTTCATGATACACCTCTTTTTGATTTTTTAAGAGATTTTGGTGTAGGAGCATTAGGCAAATGACAAAATATTATTATTATTATTTATTTATTTTAATTTTTAATTTTAAATTAATTCTAGTTTTTCAATACAAACCCACTTTATGTATAGACCAAAACTAGTAGCAAAATTGCACCAGTAATGATTGTTAAAAAAATAACAAAAAAACAAGAACGAAAATAATACCGGGTATATTGTTAAATATTTTGGTATCACTGATTGCAGTGCTAGACTTTCTCTGGATCAATGTAGGCCTCTTCATCGTGATCTCTCAGTGTCAGAGGACGTCCTTCCTTTGCAAACTTTTCTTTGGCAGCTTTCAACAGGTCACCAAGTTCTTGTTCGTCATTGAGCTTATTGTCAGGAAACTCCGACTTTAACCTTTTCCTCTCCTACAATCAAACGTAACAAGTAATCAAATAACAGTATCTACTCACGTCATTTAAAATTGTTTTCGTGTACTTCATCATTTGCATTCTGAATCCAAAGTTAGGGCCAGCCATGCTCCGAGCATAAACCATGACAGTCATTGCGTCCTCATATGAGAGTGTTGTTGCTGTCATTAGATACACTGTGCATAGTGTAACTGATCGGGATATACCAGCAGCACTATAAGAGAAAGAAGTATAGGCAGGGTTTCCCACAAGGATTTGGCATAGTGCTTCTTGTTAGTGGATTGTCAAGTTACTTAAAAATCGGGCCAAAGACCCTGTATTACAGTACAGGGTATTTCAACAAAAATCACAAGGAGGAAGTTCTCAATTTTTATAAATTTTTTTGATACATATACATGTTCTTGAACTTCTTATGTTGTGTAGCAAGTTTTAGCTGATTCCGATCAAAATTGGATTTTTTATGAATTGTTAAAGTTACTCCCAATTCGGGTAGTTGTCCAAATTTTGTCAAAAATGATGAGAAAATTCTTCATTTTCATAATTTTTCCTGATACATATACATGTCCTTATGTTAAGTTTTAAGTTTGAGCTGATTCCGGTCAAAATTGAATTTATGAATTTTAAAAGTTGCTCAAAAATTAGGCCAAACACCCTGTACAGGGGACTAACTTTGGCCAAATTTCATCAAAAATGGTTAGGAGAAAATTTTATAATTTTTCTAATACATAATGTTACTTAAGAATATTTGAACTGATTCTGATCAAAATTAGATTTCTAAACGCCATGTACTACCACATGTATTGCAGTACCTGCCAGCTCATGAAACATTGCCGTTCATGCTTTGTGGGAGGAAAAATGAGAAACTGTATACTGATTTACTAATAACAATAGTAGTATACACTTACCAATGAACATAACATGATCCACCTTCAATACTATATAAGAGAAAGAGAGAGAGGAAGTGTGTGTGAGAGAGAGAGAGGAAGTGTGTGTGAGAGAGAGAGAGGAAGTGTGAGAGAGAGAGAGCTGGTACAAACCAATAGACTTGTATAACTCACCGACACTTGTGAATAAAGTCTACACTTTCTTTAAAATGTACACTCCTAATAAATAAATACCATAGTGCTGTTTATAGTAATGTTAAAGAATTTTATAAAAACAAATGGCAACACCCACAATGCATGTTTTTCAATTGCTCCACACTACTGGCAACATTTATGGCTAATTATCACAAAATACTTACAAATCACAACTCGGGCTGTCCGATATTTTGATGCATTTATATTGGAAGTTCTATTTATAGAATAAGATCACTAGATAATAATCATGATAAGGAACTAAATATAGACATACCTCTGGGAAGTGAGGCTCTGCATTGTCAAGAACCGCCAGTACGTGTGTGATGTTGTTCTCAAGTAGGAGCTCTTTCTTGCTGGCACCTGCATCAGGAAGACAATATTCATAGAAGAGTATTGCCAAAACGACTACTTACCCATAATGCCACCTACATATAGCCCGGTGCATACCTAGAAATGAAACATTAGTCAGAAAATATAGCGTGTGTGAGATATAAAGAAGTAAGCTCACTTTGTCTATGCTGTTCCCCATCTTTTCTGGTTTTATTATGGGCGTGGGTCAGATAGTTATCTAATTACTTCATTAGACTAGTTAATTTTTTTAATTATGAGCATAGCCATAAGTGCTTTCTCATAAGGAGAAAAATGTAAAGCAACAAGGCTGCAGTGCATATATATATTCTACTGTATTTGTCCATGGTATTAGTATTATTTATGTTTACATGCTTGTAATTGCCTTTTACACTTTGAAATGCCAATTAACTTGGCACTGTTTCATGTTTCTGCACATCCTGGCTGCACCAGACTACTCCTGATTGACAGCAATAACATTATACTATTAGATAAAACATGCATATACAAATAGATTATGTTGCTATAGCTCTTATTATTAAGTTGAAAAGGGCAGAAATTCTTGTTCAATTAAGGTCTCAGTAGTTGTATTAGAACTATTATCAATGTGTTTCTGTATTTGTCTTGTACAGTTTACTCTTGGCATTAATGGTGTAATATTGTAATAGCTTCTGTCAAGTGCTTTTTTTGACTACTAGATGGTTTGATAGTTTTTTATGCTGTTGTTTAATATTGATCTGATCAAGACTAAATATATGCGAAGTGACATAAGTACATAACTTGACGCAACTATTAATATCATTCAATTATTCTAATCAAAAAAATAATAAAGCAAAAAAATGATTTTAACACATTTATATAGCAGAATATATTATTGAGTTCATATAAACAATAGCCCAATAATTATCAAAGAGATGGCAATAGCTGAATGAGCCATTGCTCCTACTGCACTAGAGGTAGTTGTCTCCTGTATTCCAGCACAAGGCTCCTTCACAGCAATACCAGGGCACGTATAGACATTAGCACCTAGATAAGGCTCTGCACAGCAACCCATCCTCTCACTAAAAGTGGAAAGACCATTGAAACATTCTTCCGAAGCATCCTGACATTGGATCCCTCCTTCACTTGTAGAAAATGGGCACGTTGAGTTTAAGAGTTGTTTGTAAGCTGCAATGTTATGCTTGTAAGATCGCAGAAGTACAACAGCACAGTAGTCACCATTTTCCTCTTGCCCACATCTTCCTTTCAGCAAATAATTCTTCCAATATTTTCTTCTTGTGAGCGATAAGTTGCGGCAATCAAAGTAAGCATCAAATGCAACAAGGCATTCAGGAGAGCATAGAGTCGAGTATACTGTATTGAGATGATCAAAATGATCATCAGATAATAATGGAATAGGAATTTGTAGCATTTCACCAGCAAGCTCAGTCAAATTACAATATGGAGCACGTCTGTCAACTAGGATTTGAACACATCTGTCAATGGTTCCATTCCCACGACGTTCCTGGGGTAGATTAGGCCCTCGTCTTTTTGATATGATGCCATGTTCTTCTTCCTCTTCATCTAGAGTAAAATCAAAAGTTCCATCAATAGCAGCAAAAAGGAGGAAAGAACAAAATAGCATGAAGATGATATTGATTGACATTCTGGCTCTGCACTGCAGTTGCAATAGTGAACTTAGGTTGCTTGCTTTCTCTTTTTATAGGAATAGATCCCAGGTTTAGACACATATCTGGGATTATTACATTAGCTTCAATTACCACTGCTTCATACTCCATCCATACTATGATAGTGATTTTTGCAAGACTAAACAGCACGTGGGTGGTAACACGTGGGTAAATCTTAATAAAGGAGGAGCGAGTCTTTAAATTTAAAGTTCCTTTGCTTCAAGTGATGTATGCTGTATATCGGGAGGTCCACCCGCCTACTGGTGTAGAGCACTGTACTTCATGTCATTTCGTTCATTCCGAGAAGGAACAAGTAGCTGTCGCATCGACCTCTTTACTGAGAATTTTTGATGTAAATTATGGGCACTAAATAGAATAATTATGTTTATTTTTTGTCTGCTGGTTTTCATTTGTAGGTAGCTCAGCTACAAAGGAATGATGGTAATTACTGTACTGTACATGTAATTAATATACGAACATGCATTATTAGGCAAAGCAAAACTTGTTCAATGCTTGGAATTCAGCTTTCATGGTAACATACAGTCATTGGACAAGGTTAGGCTGAGACACTCTGACAGGGACTGCTTATTGCTATCTTTCAATGATGCCAAGGTAATTATTAACAGAGGCGTGTGTATTTAATTTGCATTTAGTAAATGCTGTATCGGGGCTTCCTTTAAAACATGCTTAGTGAGCTAAAACATGCTTCATATGAGTTAAGTTTTTAGCCAGATTGTTGAAAACTTTAAAAATTTGTAAAAAAATTCAAACTTGATCGGAATCACCTCAAACTTTTTGCACAATATAAGGACATGTATGTGCATCAGAAAAAATTATTAAAATGGAGATTTTTGTTCCTGACATTTTTGATGAAATTTGGTCAAAGACCCTGTACTATAGCCCATGGTCTTTGGCCCGATTTTGGAGCAACTTTAAAAATTCATAAAAAATCTAAACTTGATCGGAATCAGCTCAAACTTGAAACATGACATAAGAACATGTATACGCATAGGAAAACATTATAAAAATAGAGAATTCTTTTCTAGTCATTTTTGGTGAAATTTGGCCAAAGACCCTGTTATAGCCCATGGTATTTTGCCCGATTTTTGGAACAACTTTAAAAATTTATAAAAAATCTAAATTCGATTGGAATCAACTCAAACTTGAAACATGACATAAGAGCATGTATACGCATCAGAAAAAGTTATAAAAATAGAGAATTCTCTCCTAGTCATTTTTGGTGAAGTTTGGCCAAAGACCCTGTACTATAGCCCATGGTATTTTGCCCGATTTTGGAGCAACTTTTAAAATTCATAAAAAATCTAAACTTGATCGGAGTCAGCTCAAACTTGAAACATGACATAAGAACATGTATACGCATCAGAAAAAGTTATAAAAATAGAGAATTCTCTCCTAGTCATTTTTGGTGAAGTTTGGCCAAAGACCCTGTACTATAGCCCATGGTATTTTGCCTGATTTTGGAGCAACTTCAAAAATTTGTAAAAAAAATTCAAACTGCATGAAAATTAATTTTACAAGAAATAAACCAGCTATACCATGCATGTTGTTTTTATGCAATGTTACAAATGTATGATTGTTATCATTTAAACTACATTTTAAAGAATTTTCTATAATTGCATGCTTTAAATATTTTTCTAAAGAACCAATTTTGACCAAAATGAGCTCAAAATTACGACATAGCATAAAAGAAATACCCTGTACTATAATTTATGGCCCCTTGACCAAAATAATGGTTTTCATTTTTAATGTTTTTTCAGTTGTCTATTGTTGAGTACAATCCTGAAACCAACGGACTCAAGACAGTATCAATGCATCAGTTTGAGGATGAGGAGATTAGGGTACGAGTGAGTGGGTGTGGCAAGTTAACTATTTGTAGGTGTGGCATGTGTTAAATTTGTTGGAGATAAATAATTTTAATTTTATTTTGTGTAATATTTTATATTAGGGAGGTATTTTGCATAATGACTCTCGTCCAGTGGTAAAGGTTGATCCCGAAGGAAGATGTGCCGTGATGCTTTTATTTGGCAGCCATTTAGCTGTGTGCCCATTCCAACAGGACCTGTCCATTGACACTCCACTCTCTCCTTCCCCTTCTCTGTAAGTAAAATAATTTATTTAGATATAATTGTAATTGTGTTCTTTACAGTGATACTCATGACATTTTACCGACTTATACAATATCCTTGAGAGATTTGCCGGAGCCATTGCCAGTCATTAAAGACATGACTTTCATAGAGGGATACACTAGCCCCACCCTACTCTTCCTCTCTGAAGTATCCCCTACTTGGGCTGGGTAAGACACACAATAACACTGGAACTAACAATAAGCAATAATAATAAATAATAATAATAATAAACAATAACAATAATGGAACTAACAACAAGGAAATGAGTGTTTAATATTTATTGCATCCTTATACATACATGGTCAAACACTCTTATTTTTGTTCCTCTATTTTTAATTGTTAATTTTTTAAATTTTTACTCATTCCAGTCGTATCAGTTTGCGTCAGGATTCAATGATGCTGTTGGGTTTATCACTCAACACGAGTGATAAGAGTCATACTGTCATATGGACGCTAAAGAATCTTCCATTTGATTCGTCTTATCTCCATCCTGTACCCAAACCACTAGGTAATGGAAACACCTACCGTACAGCTGGTTAATTTTGCGGAGAAAAATTTTGCGAATCCTTAAAAATAACCTGGTTTGCGGATTAAATATTTGCGGTTTTGACAGTTATTGTAGCATTATCTACTGTGGTCATGCATGAATTTCATTATTTTGCGGATTTAAATTTTGCGCTTTAAATGGAATCGCAAACTCGCAAAATTTAATTCCCCGCAAATATTTCCAGCTATACGGTATGTACATGTACCTTGAAATGTTTACATGTATTTATATTGCTTTGATTCTAACAGGTGGTGTACTTGTATTTGGCGCCAATACTTTGATATACTTGAATCAGGTTAGTAACAATTCATCAGGGTTTCCCACAGGATTTTGGAATAGTGACAGTGGATTTTTTATGGATTTTAAAAGCTGCTCTATTGTATATTCCATGCTGTTTAGCTCAGTTAGAGCATGCTCTGTGGGAAGCCCTGCATTTGCAATGCATTAATGATTAATTATTAACTGGTTCATTCTATATAATAGAGTAGTCCACCGTATGGTCTATCCCTGAACAGTATCACTGATTATACAACAAGATTTTTACTCAGTCAGTACAGCACTAATTCACATGTGTGACTGTAGATTATTTTAATATTAAGAAATTGGTTTAGTTACACATTTGTTTGTTAACGAGCGAGTGAACTAGTGATTTTTTAATGATAGAGAATGAAGGCTCACTTGGCATAAGACTGGATTGCTCTCAGTCTGTCTTCATATCTAATGAACAATTACTGGTATCACTTCAATCAGGTGACATGTAAGTACATCTACTCTATTAGTATTAGTATAGGGCAATGATGACGACTCTAATACCTGTCCTTAATCCTATATTGCGTCTTGTAGTTATATAGTTACACTGTTTCCTGACAGTGGAATGAGAGGTGTCAAGCGCATCACTTTTGATAAAGCAGCTAGTAGTATTCTATCATCTTGTGTAAGTTCTTTCTCTTTTATCCTTTTCACTATTATCCTACTCCTTATAATTATTAGATTTGTAGCATTAAACCTCATTTCTTGTTTCTTGGCTCAAGACTAGCTAATTCACTTCTTCTCAGATACTCTACAACCGTCAAACAAAGTGAGTGGATGATACTAGCACTGTATCTCCTTCATTTTGTGGTCTCTTTCCTCCTCCCCTCTCTCCCTATTTCTCTCTTTCCTTCTAGATATAGTTGAACCTATTGGAGGTGCTATTTTAGGTAATGGAATCATGATGAGTATTATTTATGATAACTTATTACATGTACATACAATACAGATCTTGATGATATTGAAGTGTATGGAGAGAGTGCTGTATCACAGTCCACCAGCTCCTCATCTCTATTGACTAACTATTCATTAGAAGTAAGTTCCAATGCATTTTTCACTTATTATAATTACATATGTGTTATTTTGAAAGGTGTGTGATAGCTTGTTGTGTATTGGGCCGGTTGTTAAAGCTACCATTGGAGAGCCTGCCTTTCTCTCAGTGAGAAACTTATAAAATGCTTTGAAGATTAATTTGAAATTTTTTATAGGAGGAGTTTGTAGATAAGAGTGATCTTGATCTTGAGTTGGTATTGTGTTCTGGTCATGGGAAGAATGGAGCACTATCAGTATTACAGGTAATGGCAATGCTATGGAATGATGATGTATAACCTATACTAATCTAATGGTAACAGTAACACATGTATTGTAGTGATAAGTGGTAATGTTATGAGCTAGCACTGGTAAGAGTTTTCCAAACAGAAATCATTTGAAATTGCAGCAAACAAACTAAACTGCTAATATACATTGTAGCTATGACTATTGAATATAAAAGCTGTTCATTGATTGGAATCAACTGTCAAGCATAACAATGATATCTTGTTTAATGGATATTGTGAGGCATTGTCCAATAACTGTTTGAATGCTAATTACATATATCACTACTCACTAGGAAAGAGACATTTGTAAACATCTTTTAATTAAGTGTACATGCACTGACCTGATGCAGCATTCAGCCACTGTGCTTTACTTACTGTCAATTGCCACTGACTCATAGTACATGTACAGTGTATAGTGGCATTACCAACATTTTGAGAGGATAATGATTTTGGGAGCATATTGTTCACTTCTAACAATGTGTGTATGAAGCAAGTGATTCAAGCATTCAATAGTTTTGAGTGACAGAATCTTCTAATGTGAATACCTGTATTTACACATGTTCCAATTACATTTAATTAGATTTGTTGTATTTTACATTTTCTCCCTTTCTAGAGGACTATTCGTCCTCAAGTAGTAACCACTTTTGAACTCCCTGGGTGCATTGACATGTGGACAGTGAAATCTGAAGGAGAAGAGGAGGAGAAGGGAGAAGAGACTAAAGAAGAAGGACAGAATGAAGGAGGAGAGAAGGACCAGAGCAGGGAGAAGGAGGAGAAAGGAAGTGGACAGCACGATTATTTGATACTCAGTCGATCTGATTCAACAATGGTTAGTCAAGATTATTATCATGAAATAAAGTGCATTAACTCATGCTACTAGTGCTTAAGGTGATTCATTAATCTGTATGTTTGGTACTGCATGTGTAATTGCCAAATTAAAAGCACCAAATGTTTTAGTACGTAATATTTGTTCTGCAACCCTCATAGTTTAAAGCATAAAGGGCCTAAGTAAACTAGGCATTATAATGTCTGGAATCTAGATACAGTAGATCATGCATAATGTCAATATAAATCATTCATGATTGTGCAGAGCACAGCCACAGAACTTGGAAGGAAATGTAGCTCCTGACTCTCTTCTTTATAGGTTACCTTGCTTATACTAGTATCAATGGAAATAGACTGCACAGATTATAGCTTAGATTTATATATAGCTAGGTTCTTCAAGATGATCAACAATCAGAGTCTTGACATAACATAGAATTTTTTATTTTTTATCTTAATGTTCTAACTTGCTACTGAAGAAGCTTTTGGACAACAGTTCAGTCTTATCTTGTGGTCTTTTGCAAGACTTGCTCCCTACCATTTTATTTCACTGTGACCACACCCACAATTAATGAAGGCTAGGTTATTTAACTTTAAAAATAGTTAGACTACTTTTGTCTGAGTGGGGCTCACTCAGGCTCACTCCAATTCCCCCTTGGTCCTGCTAAGTCTATAGTTTCAATGAATTATTACCAATTGCTCATACTTATGCCATCTAGACGTTTACTAATTCTCATGTTCTGATTCATACCAAAGTATCACTGCCCTTAGGCTTGTGATATCATCAATATGATAGTTCATAGTGCATAGCATGCATTGTGGCTTTATGGTGAATACTTTAATGATGAATAATGGGTGTAATGGCTTACAAATCATTCATTGCGCTGCTTGTGCATTTGATTTATATAATGAAAATATTATTTAATAAATAGAAAAACAATAGCCTATAATGAGCAAACTAAACTAAACTACTAGTGTCACTTCTATCGTCTCTACTTGTTCAAACATAGTTTATTAGAGGAAGACTCCAGCCAATGCAAGTATCATCAAAGATACTGCAACAATAGGTGTAGCAATTATTCCTGTAGCACTTGATTCTGTAGTGCTTGATAGCCCAGTACAAGCATCAGGGACACTCACTCCACTGCATGAACGTACACCAGATCCAAAGACTGGCTCCATGCAGCAACCTGCTACACTCGTGAAATTTTTCAATCCATCAATGCAATCATCAGTATCAGTGCATGTTAGTCCATTGGAAGTCAAAGTGCAATCATTAATTATACTGCCATAAGCATTTGCATTAGACGTTGTATTAAAACTGCGTATTAATCGTACTGGACAGTATTCTCCACTCTCCTGTCCACATAAGTATTTTTCAATTAAATTGCCAGCGTATTCTCCTGTATCCCCAGAATAAAGGCAACGGTAATATTCACCAAGAGCACCAGCACAATCACTGGTACATATACGTGACAATTGATCCTTGAGGCTGCTGAGGTATGATTCGCTAACTCCTATTTGTAGAGCAGGTGGTCCAAAAGAATCTATTGGTAAAGAGCAGCTTGAAGGCAGATCAGGCTTTGTGCAGGTAGCCTGCCTACGCTCCAGCACTGGTACATGTATATTCTGCCTCTTGTTAATGTGGTGGAGTAATTGAAGCAAAGCAGTGTCGTTCATTCCTCTCTCTTTATCAATGACAGCTCCTTCAGTGCATGCAGCAATGAGGAATAGGCAGACCAGAAACAATGATGGGGACATGTTTAGTTGCATCTCGGACTCTCGGTATATTCTTGTATTAGAGAGGACAGCTTCTTTTATAGTAAAGCTTCTAATATAATTTATTAAGTATTCATGAAAGAGACGGTAGCAACAATTTATCTATTGACTCTTATCAGTATAGAATAAACATTGGTGAAGTGTAATACTTAAGCTGTACATCAAGCTTTGTTTTCGTACGTGTCAATCACTGAACTGTAAAGAGAAAGGTACAAAACAAAGGTCCTTGCAAAAACTTTGAATTGATTATCAATCAGTCAACAAATCTGTCATTGGAGTCATTTATGTCGTGTCATTGTGCCCTCCATAGAATAGTTGGCAATAGTTAATTCTGGTATTGTTTCTAATTCTGGTATTGTTTCTTTTGTACTCTCAAAAAAGGTACAAGACCACAATATTGAATGCATTAGGTCAATATATCAAATTTTAAACATAGTTATCAATATTATTTTGCTTTGAAAATTGGACATACTGTAAGGGAGGTAGCTATAATGCCTTTAATGATCATTGCAGAGGATGAACACAAGTTACTTTAGAGTTATGAGATGAAGTAGGATGAACAATGACATCAGGCTATGTTGCTAGGCAACCTAATAATCTTAATATATAATCCGCCTGTGCAACGGAAGTTTTCTAATGGCCAAGAAGCCATGCCTCTATTAATAATTGGAAATTGTACCTGCTTGAATTAAGAATCTGAGCTGCTTAATGCATAATTTTTTTTTGCTGTCTTATGCATGATCCCTTAAGTAAATAAAATCTATCAAGGCAACAGTATTTATGCCATCATAGTAGGTGTTAGTTTGATATATCTCTTGACTTCAATTGGTGCAGAACATGCACTATTAAAAGCAATGAATCATGCATGCTCATTATCTCTATCATATGCTGCATGATAGAGATAAAGATCACAATTCATTGCTTTTAATAGTGCATGAATGCAAGAGCAACTGTGGCGAGTCTAAGCACCGTAGGTGTCTCGTTTTAGTTGCTTATAATATTTTTTCTACTTGTTATAATCACATCAAACATAGCTTATTATGCCTACACTAAGCTATGCCTTTATTGCCTTGGTCTGTTGGATCAACCTTATTCAGCATTATCAGTCATTGCTTATTTCAGAAAAAACTGCATGATGTCTGCAGCTGGGAAATCAGTGGGAAACTACGACTTCTTGGAGTAACCTGATCTCGCAGTCCATGATTAATGTATATGAATTGAGAAAAGTATTATTTTAAAAAAGCAAAAAAACAATATTAATGCACACAACTGAATTCTAATATCTACTGCTAGTGTTCTCTACTACATGTACATGTATCTGATACATGTACTGTCTCTACTTGTTCAAACACAGTTTATTAGAGGAAGACTCCAGCCAATGCAAGTATCATCAAAGATACTGCAACAATAGGTGTAGCAATTATTCCTGTAGCACTTGATACTCCAGTACAAGCATCAGGGATACTCACTCCACATGAACGTATACCAGATCCAAAGAGTGGCTCAGTACAGCAACCTGCTGCCCTGCTAAAGGTTTTCAATGCATCAGTACACTCGCTTCTCCTGCATGATGTTGATCCAGTAGTGGATGATGTTGAGCAATAGTATCGAATATTGTCATAAGCCTCTTCATTAGATTCTGTTTTAAAACTGCGTATTATTTTTGCTGGACAGTAGTCCCCACTCTCCTTTCCACAAAAGAATTTCTGATAATAATTAGCCAAGTCTTCTCCTCTATTTCCAGAATAAAGACAACGGTAATAGTCACCAATAGCACCAGCACAATCACTGGTACATAAACGTGAATATTGACTATTGAGGCTGCTGAGGTATGAGTCAGTGATTGTAGAAGGTATTGAATAAGTGAACGCTGATTCAGAGCAGCCTGAAGGAAGATCAGGTTCTGTGCAGTTACCAGTCTCCTTAAGCTCCAGTGGTATATTGTGCCTCTTGTTAATGTGGTGGAGTAATTGAAGCAAAGCAGTGTCGTTCAATCCTTTCTCTTTATCAATGACAGCTCCTTCAGTGCATGCAGCAATGAGGAATAGGCAGACCAGAAACAATGATGGGGACATGTTTCAGATAGTGTAGGTGCTTCTTGGTATGTTCTTGCAATAGAGAGACAGCTCCTTTTATAGGTTTAGCTCAAGCTCTTAATATAATTTATTGAGTGTTTAATTAATCTATTAATGTATGGACTATCTATGGAATATCTCATAGAATAAACATTGATAAAGTGTAATAATTACAATAAGTAACACAACATGTGAAAGTGAATGGTGCATGTGGTAAAAGCTTTTAATAATAATAGGAGCCCATAAAAAGCCTGATAATAATAATTTGAAATATGTTATTAAGCTATAAGTGTCATTGATATTGGTGTTGTAATAGCTGTTTCTTAATTAAAATAAATAGTTATTAATAGTCTTAGCCTTGAAATATACTACATAAAGGACTTTTCATAGCTTATGTCATAGCAATACTCCACTAGTGTATATACTGATTATTGGCTTATAATTAAACTGTACATCATATTATTTGTTGTGTTCATTGATAATGATTGCAATGGTTCATGAGCTAAGGCCATTCCAACTAGATTTTTTATTTTGCACACACCCACACCAGTGATTATTATAATGATTGATACTTTTCCTGAATTAAACAGCATACCTGTCACTAGCGCTGCCACATCACCTGTGAAATGGAAATTTAATTCATGTATTCCATGCTTGATTTACAGAAATTATTATTTTTTAAAAGCAAAGCTATATCAATGCACACAACTGAATGCTAATATCTACTGCTAGTGTTCTCTACTACATGTACATGTATCTGATACATGTACTGTCTCTACTTGTTCAAACACAGTTTATTAGAGGAAGACTCCAGCCAATGCAAGTATCATCAAAGATACTGCAACAATAAGTATAGCAATTATTCCTGTAGCACTTGATACACCAGTATACAAGCATCAGGGATACTCACTCCACATGAACTTACACCAGATCCAAAGAGTGGCCCTTATGCAGCAACCTGCTATATCTCTGAAATTATTCAATCCATCAATACAGTCATTGGTATCAGTGCATGTTAGTTGACCATTGGAATTTAAAGTGTAATCATTAGTTACATTACATTAATGTAATTAATAATGTAATGTAATTAATGTAATTACATTAGATGTTGTATTAAAACTATGTATTAATCTTACTAGGCAATAGCTTCCATTCTGCTGTCCACATAAGTATTTTTCAATTAAAGTACTGATATATTCTCCTGTATTGTCCCCAGAATAAAGGCAGTGGTAATATTCACCAATAGCACCAGCACAATCACTGGTACATACTTGAGTATCGATCATTGAGGCTACTGAGGCATACTTTACTGAATCCTGTTAGTAGAGCAGGTGGTGAGGAGATATGATTCACTGACTCCTGTTTTGCAGGTGGTGAAGAGATATGATTCACTGACTCCTGTTTGTGCAGGTGATGAAGAGATATGTGATTCACTGACTCCTGTTTGTAGAGCAGGTGGTGAAGAGATATGATTCACTGACTCCTGTTTGTGCAGGTGGTGAAGAGATATGTGATTCACTGACTCCTGTTTGTAGAGCAGGTGGTGAAGAGATATGATTCACTGACTCCTGTTTGTGCAGGTGGTGAAGAGATATGTGATTCACTGACTCCTGTTTGTAGAGCAGGTGGTGAAGAGATATGATTCACTGACTCCTGTTTGTGCAGGTGGTGAAGAGATATGTGATTCACTGACTCCTGTTTGTAGAGCAGGTGGTGAAGAGATATGATTCACTGACTCCTGTTTGTGCAGGTGGTGAAGAGATATGTGATTCACTGACTCCTGTTTGTAGAGCAGGTGGTGAAGAGATATGATTCACTGACTCCTGTTTGTGTAGGTGGTGAAGAGTCAGAAGAGATATGATTCACTGACTCCTGTTTGTAGAGCAGGTAGTAAAATTGAGCTTATGGGTAAAAAGCAATTATGCATTTTACATGTACTAATCTCCTTAGTCTCAGTACCGGTATATTGTGCTTCCTGTTAATGTGGTGGAATAATTGAAGCAAAGCAGTGTCGTTCAAGTGCATGCAGCAATGAAAAATAGGCAGACCAGAAACAATGATGGGGCCATGTTTCAGATAGTGTATGTGCTTCTCAGATGTTTTTGCAATAGAGAGGACAATGTTATTTATGAAGTGTTCATGAAAGAATAGCAGCAATTCAGTTGTCTATTGTCTTATTGGGGCGAACCTGAGCGAGCCCATGACATCTAATACTGCATTTACACTAGCTTCTTTAACTGAGCCAGCCCTGTTTAAAGTGGGCTGGCACAGTTTTATTTGATAATGTAAACAGTAACCAAACTGAGCTGAAGTGAGCTGGGCCAAACCAGGCCAGCATGGTTAGTACAGCAGGGCCGGCTTAGTCTGGTTCAGCACGGTTTGGCCCACAAACACAGTATAACTATTATTAAAGTTTAATAGCATAATTTTTATTGAAACTGTGTGTGGTCACAATGCAATAAAGTGGTGGCTATCAGCAAGAGTTTATTTGCAGCAAATGGTTATATTAGACATTTGCATTTGTCAAATAGGGAACTATGACTACTTGCATGGAGTTGCTTAATCTGGCGGGACATGATTAAAGTGTAATTAATATGAGAAAAATATTTTTTAAGCAAAAAAACTATATCAATGCACACAACTGAATGCTAATATCTACTGCTAGTGTTCTCTACTACATGTACATGTATCTGATACATGTACTGTCTCTACTTGTTCAAACACAGTTTATTAGAGGAAGACTCCAGCCAATGCAAGTATCATCAAAGATACTGCAACAATAGGTGTAGCAATTATTCCTGTAGCACTTGATAACCCAGCACAAGCAACAGGGACACTCACTCCACTGCAGTTATGTACACCAGATCCAAGGAGTGGCTCCATACAGCAACCTATTGCACTGCTAAAGTTACTCACTGCTTCAGTACAGGTATCACTGCATGGTGATGTTAATCTAGGGGAGTTATTTGATATTTTGCAATATTGTAGCATATTGTTATAAGCATCTGCATAGGATTTATCTCTAAAATTACGTACTGATCTAAAACTGCGTACTAATTTCACTGGACAATAGTCCCCATTCTCCTTCCCACATACGTACTTGTCAATGTAATCAGCCTTGTACAAGTATAATTCTTTAATCTCACTACCATTTGGCTCATCAGAAGCAAGACAATCGTAATATTTAACAAGAGCACCAGCACAATCACTGGTACATATACGGGAGTATTTATCATTGAGGCTACTGAGTTGTGAGTTACAGCATTGTGTTGTTGATTCTGTTGAAGGATATATTTCTGATTCATCACAACCTGAAGGAAGGTTAGGGGGATATTCACAGTTACATGTACATGTACTAATCTCCTCAGGATCCAGTTGCCTCTTGTTAATGTGGTGGAATAATTGAAGCAAAGTTGTGTCATTTGTTCCTTTCTCTTTATCAATGACAGCTCCTAATTCAGTGCATGCAGCAATGAGGAATAGGCAGACCAGAAACGATGATGGGGACATGTTTCAGATAGCAAGTGCTTCTCAGTATGTTCTTTTGATAGAGAGAACAGCTCCTTTTATAGCTTTAGCTTAAGCTCTTAATACAATTTATTGAGTGTTTAATTGATCTATTAATTTATGGACTATCTATGGAATATCTCTCTCATAGAATAAACATTGATAAAGTGTAATAATTACAATAAGTAACACAATAAGTGAAAGTGAATGGTGCATGTGGTAAAAGCTGCCTGATAATAATAATTTGTCTTAATAAGTTATAAATGCCATTAATATTGGTGTTTTAATAGCTGATTTTTAATTAAGATAAATAATTGATATCTTTTCCTTAATATAGACCTTTCCCACCAATGCAGCATTTAGCAATGAATATCATTAACGAGCCGCCATGTTGTGGGATAGATGTACAGAGATAAATGGGCAAAAGTGACTTTTCCCATTTTCCTTTTAAATGCAAGCTCTGGTTCACACAGAAATGCTCACTGCACATTTATTGTATAATTTTAGTTATCATACTGCAATTTGGTCTTTGCTTTCGCAGTTATCTTGGAGAAAATAAAGAAATAGTGCTTTTAGCCCATCCATCACTGTACATCTATCCCACAAAATGGCAGTTCGTTAATGATATTCATTGCTAAACGTACAGTGGTGGGAAAGGTCTACATGTATATACCACATAAAGGATTTTTCATAGCTTATGTCTTAGCAATACTCCACTAGTGTATTATACTGATTACTGGCTTATCATATTATGAATAGACTTTGTTGTGCTCATTGATAATGATTGCAATGGTTGATGAGATGAGCCCATTTCAACTAGACTTATTATTTTTCATTTTTCACACACCCACACCAGTGATTATTACAATGGTTAATACTTTTCATGAATATTAATTAAACAGCATGCCTGTAGTGCTGCCACATCAGCCTCACCTGTGAAATGGAAATTTAATTCATGTATTCAATGCTTGTTTACAGAAATTAGTATTTTTTAAAGCAAAAAACTATATCAATGCACACAACTGAATGCTAATATCTACTGCTAGTGTTCTCTACTACATGTACATGTATCTGATACATGTACTGTCTCTACTTGTTCAAACACAGTTTATTAGAGGAAGACTCCAGCCAATGCAAGTATCATCAAAGATACTGCAACAATATGTGTAGCAATTATTCCTGTAGCACTTGATTCTGTAGTACTTGATGCTGTAGTGCTTGATTCTGTAGTACTTGATGGTGTAGTACTTATTACTCCAGTACAAGCATCAGGGATACTCACTTCACTGCATGAACGTACATCAGATCTAAGAAATGGCTCAGTACAGCAACCTATTGCACTGCTAAAGGTCCTCAATGCATCAGTACAGTTGGTATTGTTGCATGATGATAAGTCAGTGGAGTTAAATGGTATTGAGCAATATTCTAGCATATTGTTATAAGCATCTGCATAAGATTTTTGTGTTAAACTACGCATTAATTTCACTGGACAATAGTCCCCACTCTCCTTCCCACATATGTACTTCTCGACGTAATCAGCCTTGTACGAGTATTCTTCTTTAATCTTACTATCATCCTCACCCTCATCAGAAGCAAGACAACGGTAATATTTAATAAGGGCACCAGCACAATCACTGGTACACATACGTGAGTATTTATTGCTGCGGCTTTTCAGTTTTGAGTTACAGCATACTTGTGGTAGTGTTATTGCTGGTGGTCCTATTGAAGGAATGACTACTGATACATCACAATCTGAAGGAAGATCGGGTATTTCGCAGTTACATGTACATGTACCAATCTCCTTAGGTTCCAGTGCTATATTTTGCCTCTTGTTAATGTGGTGGAATAATTCAAGCAAAGTAGTGCCATCATGTATTCCTTTCTCTTTATCAATGACAGCTCCTAATTCAGTGCATGCAGCAATGAGGAATAGGCAGACCAGAAACAATGATGGGGACATGTTTCAGATAGTGTAGGTGCTTCTTGGTATGTTCTTGTGATAGAGAGGACAGCTCCTTTTATAGGTTTAGCTTAAGCTCTTAATATAATTTATTGAGTGTTTAATTAATCTATGGACTATCTATGGAATATCTCTCATAAAATCAACATTGATAAAGTGTAATAATTACAATAAGTGAAAGTGAATGGTGCATGTGGTAAAAGCTGCCTGATAATAATAATTTGTAATAATTATGTTATTAAGTTATAAGTGTAATTAATATTGGTGTTGTAATAGCTGATTCTCAAACTATGCAATAGTAATACTCCACTAGATTACTGGCTTATAATTAAACTGTACATCATATCATGAATAGACCTTGTTGTGTTCATTGATAATGATGATAATGGTTGATGAGATAAGGCCATTTCCACTAGATTCATTATTTTCCATTTTGAACACGCCCACATCAATGATTCATTATAATTATTACAATGATTAATACTTTTGATGAATATTAATTAAACAACATGCCTGTAGCACTGCCACATCAGCCCCACTTGCGAAATGGAAATTTAATTCATGTATTCCATGCTTGATTTACAGAAATTAGTATTAAAAAAAAACAAAAACTATTATCAATACACACAACTGAATGCTAATATCTACTGCTAGTGTTCTCTACTACATGTACAATTGTACATGTATCTGATACATGTACTGTCTCTACTTGTTCAAACACAGTTTATTAGAGGAAGACTCCAGCCAATGCAAGTATCATCAAAGATACTGCAACAATAGGTGTAGCAATTATTCCTGTAGCACTTGATAGCCCAGCACAAGCATCAGGGATACTCACTCCATTGCATAAACGTACACCAGATCCAAGGAATGGCTCAGTACAGCAACCTATTGCATCGCTAAATTTCATCACTGCATCAGTACAGGTATAATCGCATGATGATGGTAATCTAGTGGAGTTATGTGATATTTTGCAATATTGTAGCATATTGTTATAAGCATCTGCATAAGTTTTTTCTCTAAAACTGCGTACTAATTTCACTGGACAGTAGTCCCCACTTTTCTTCCCACATACGTACTTGTCAACATAATTAGCCTTGTACGAGTATTCTTCTTTAATCTCACTATCATCCTCATCAGAAGCAAGACAACGGTAATATTCAACAATAGCACCAGCACAATCACTGGTACATATACGGGAGTATTTATCATTGAGGCTACTGAGTTGTGTGTCACAGCATACTTTTGCTGATTCTGTTGAAGGAATTATTTCTGATACATCACAACCTGAAGGAAGATCAGGCTCTTTGCAGTTACATGTACATTGACTAATCTCCTTAGTCTCCAGTTGCCTCTTGTTAATGTGGTGGAATAATTGAAACAAAGTTGTGTCATTCATTCCTTTCTCTTTATTAATGACAGCTCCTAATTCAGTCCATGCAGCAATGAGGAATAAGCAGACCAGAAACAATGATGGGGACATGTTTCAGATAGCAAGTACTTCTCAGTTTATTCTTGTGATAGAAAGGACAGCTCCTTTTATAGGTTTAGCTTAAGCTCTTAATATAATTTATTGAGTGTTTAATTGATTTATTAATGTATGGACTATCTATGGAATATCTCTCATAAGATCAACATTGATAAAGTGTAATAATTACAATAAGTAACACAATAAATGAAAGTGAATCGTGCATGTGGTAAAAGCTGCCTGATAATAATAATTTGTGTTATAAGTTATATAGACATTTCCCGCGATGAATATTCATGAGAATTTATGAGTCATCAATGCATCACGATGATGAAAACAACGCCTACTAGTGGGACACAACAGTGAATCTGGCACCTAAATTGACTGGTTTTTCAGCTGCTCTTTGTTGTTTTTCCTTATTTTAATGGTTAATAACTGTTGTATTGTTGGATACTATAATTCTGATGAGAAAAACCAGCGGTTAAGACTCTTAAGCTCTACTTTCAAAGGGAGGCTAGTCCTGAAAAGGTGGATCAAGGCTGCAAATCCTGTCAAATGGAATTTAGGCCTAAGCACACATCCTAAAGGTTCAGATATTTGAGCTTCTCAGGTTAAATCTCAGCATATCAAGCTTTTGCAGTAAGATTAAGAGCTTCAGATAGTCTTTGCAATCCCACAAGTAGGTGTGATTTTTGTCATCGTGATGCTTTGATGACTCATAATTGCTCTTTATTTAGAATAAATTCTAGTAAATTCTCGTAAATCCACTTGAATCCTCATGAATAATTCATCGCGGGAATGATCTATAAGTGTCATTAATATTGGTGCTGTAATAGCTGATTCTTAATTAGGATAAATGATTTATATCTTTGCCTTAATACCAGTATATACTACATAAAGGACTTTTCATAGCTTATGTCATAGCAATACTCCACTAGTGTATATATTGATTAATTGATTATTGGCTTATAATTGCACTGTACATCATATTATGAATAGGCCTTGTTGTGTTCATTGATAATGATTGCAATGGTTGATGAGCTAAGGCCATTCCAACTACATTTATTATTTTTAATTTTTCACACACCCACACCAGTTATTATTACAATGATTAATACTTTTCATGAATATTAATTAAACGGCATGCCTGTAGCACTGCCACATTAGCCCCGCCTTACCTGTGAAATGGAAATTTAATTCATGTATTCCATGCTTGATTTACAGAAATTAGTATTTTTAAAAGCAAAAACTATATCAATGCACACAACTGAATGCTAATATCTACTGCTAGTGTTCTCTACTACATGTACATGTATCTGATACATGTACTGTCTCTACTTGTTCAAACACAGTTTATTAGAGGAAGACTCCAGCCAATCCAAGTATCATCAAAGATACTGCAACAATAGGCGTAGCAATTATTCCTGTAGCACTTGATAGCCCAGTACAAGCATCAGGGACACTCACTCCACTGCATGAACGTACACCAGATCCAAGAAAAGGCTCAGTACAGTAACCTGCTGCTTTTCAATCCATCCATCAATACAGTCATCAGTATCAGTGCATGTTAGTCCATTGGAATTCAAAAGGCAATCATTAATTACATTAATGTAGTTACATTAATTACATTAGATGTTGTATTAAAACTGTATTAATCTTACTGGACAGTAGTCTCCACTCTCCTGTCCACACAAGTATTTTTCAATGAAATTGCCAACGTATTCTCCTGTATCCTGCCCAGAATAAAGATAGTGGTAATATTCACCAATAGCCCCAGCACAATCACTGGTATATTTACTTGAAAATTCATCATTGAGGCTGCTTAGGTGTGAGTCACTGACTCGTGTTTATGCAGGTGGCAAATAGATGTGATTCACTGACTCCTGTTTATGCAGGTGGTGAATAGATATGATTCACTGACTCCTGATTATGCTGGTGGTGAATAGATATGATTCGCTGACTCCTGTTAGTAGAGCAATGAGGCATTGTACATGCACTAATTTCTTTAGGCTCTAGTGGTTTATTGTACCTCTTGTTAATGTAGTGGAATAATTGAAGCAAAGCAGTGTCATTCATTTCATTCCTTGCTCTTTATCAATGACAGCTTCTTCAGTACATGCAGTAATGAGGAATTTGTGAAAGCCTGTGACTGCTGATGAATTAAAAACAACACCATGAAGTAAATGTGATGTGGTACAAATCATATACTCAATGGTGATAATTTATTGGTAATGGTAATATTAGGAGCACTTAGTGTTTCTAATTGAATTTGGTTTTTACTTACTGTGTAGAATAGTTATTTTTTACTTATTATAATTGTTTATTATGCTTACACTAAGCTATGCTTTGGTTCCTTGGATCAACCTTATTCAGCAATATCATTGCTTATATTAGATGTGTGGTTTTATGAAAAGGGAAACTATGACTACTTGGAGTTGCCTAATCTCGCGGAGCACAATTAAAGTATAATGAATATGAGGAAAACATTATTTTTAAAAAGCAAAAACTATATCAATGCATACAACTGAATGCTAATATCTACTGCTAGTGTTCTCTACTACATGTACATGTATCTGATACATGTACTGTCTCTACTTGTTCAAACACAGTTTATTAGAGGAAGACTCCAGCCAATGCAAGTATCATCAAAGATACTGCAACAATAGGTGTAGCAATTATTCCTGTAGCACTTGATACTGTAGTGCTTGATAGCCCAGCACAAGCATCAGGGATACCGCTCACTCTACATGAATCTATACCAGATCCAAGGAGTGGCTCCATACAGCAACCTATTGCACTGCTAAAGGCCCTCACTGCTTCAATACAGGTATTGTTGCATGATGATGGTAATCTAGTGGAGTTAAATGATATTGAGCAATATTGTAGCATATTGTTATAAGCAACTGCATTTGACCTTGCTTTAAAACTGCGGACTAATTTCACTGGACAATAGTCCCCACTTTCCTTCCCACATACGTACTTCTTGACGTAATCAGCCTTGTACAAGTATTCTTTTTTAATCTCACTATCATCCTCATCAGAAGCAAGACAACGGTAATATTGAACAATGGCACCAGCACAATCACTGGTACATATACTGGAGTATTTATCATTGAGGCTACTGAGTTGTGAGTTACAGCATCCTGTTGCTGATTCTGTTGAAGGAATTATTTCTGATATGTCACAACCTGAAGGAAGATCAGGTTTTTCGCAGTTACATGTACATTGACTAATCTCCTTAGTATCCAGTTGCCTCTTGTTAATGTGGTGGAATAATTGAACCAAAGTAGTGTCATTCATTCCTTTCTCTTTATCAATGACAGCTCCTAATTCAGTGCATGCAGCAATGAGGAATAGGCAGACCAGAAACAATGATGGGGACATGTTTCAGATAACAAGTGCTTCTTGGTATGTTCTTGTGATAAAGAGAACAGCTTTTATAGGTTTAGCTCAAGCTCTTAATAATTATTATTTATTGAGTGTTTAATTAATCTAAATCTATTAATGTATGGATTATCGGAATATCTCACATTATTATAACTAGAAAGAATGTAAATTATAAAATATTGAGGGGCTCCGCCTCCTGGCTACACCTCCTAGTCACTCCCCCCCAAATATACACAAGCATGCATATAGTTAAGTACATACAGAAATTCTCGCCAGTAAAGGCTTTGCCCAATATGTAACACAATAAATTGTTTTAAAGTGAATTGGTAACAACTGTAAATAATAAAAAGGCCTGATAATAATAGTTTGTATTAAAGTTATTAAATTGCAAGTGTCATTAAATTGGTGTTTTAATAGCTGTTTCTTAATTAAATTGCATAATTTTTGTTATGAATTTCCTTGCCTTAATATAGGCTACTCATAGCTTATTTCAAACTATCCAATAGTATACTCCACTAGTGTATATATTGATTGATTGATTACTAGCTTATAATTGCACTGTACATCATATTATGAATCGATCTTGTTGTGTTCATTGATAATGATTGCAATGGTTGAGGAGATAAGGCCATTAGATTTATTATTTTCAATTTTTCACACACCCACACCAGTGATTATTACAATGATTCATACTTTTCATGAATATTAATTAAACGACATGCCTGTAGTGTTGCCACATCAGCCTCACCTGTGAATTGGAAATTTAATTCATGTATTCCATGTTTGATTTACAGAAATTAGTATTATTTTTTTTTAAAGCAAAAACTATATAAATGCACACAACTAAATGCTAATATCTACTACTGCTAGTGTTCTCTACTACATGTACATGTATCTGATACATGTACTGTCTCTACTTGTTCAAACACAGTTTATTAGATGAAGACTCCAGCCAATGCAAGTATCATCAAAGATACTGCAACAATAGGTGTAGCAATTATTCCTGTAGCACTTGATTCTGTAGTGCTTGATACTCCAGTACAAGCATCAGGGACACTCACTCCACTGCATGAACGTACACCAGATCCAAGGAATGGCTCCATACAGCAACCTGCTGCACTGCTAAAGGTCCTCAAAGCACTAGTACAGCTGGTACGGCTGCATGATGATAATCCAGTAGTGGGTGATATTGAGCAATAGCTAGAGATACTGATAAATGCAGCTGCATTAGATGTTGTTCTAAAACTGCGTAACAATCTTGCCACACAATAGTCCCCACTCTCCTGTCCACATATGTACTTCTGGATGTAATTAGCCCAGTATTCTCCTCTATCCCCAGGATAAAGACAACGGTAATATTCACCAATAGCACCAGCACAATCACTGGTACATATACGTGAGTATTGACTATTGAGGCTGCTGAGGTATGAGTCACTGGCTCCTGATGATGTAAAAGGTGACGAAACAGCAAATTCTGATAAAGAGCAACCTGAAGGAAGATCTGGTAGTGTGCAGCTACTAGTCTGCTTAGGCTCCAGTGGTATATTGTGCCTCTTGTTAATGTGGTGGAATAATTGAAGCAAAGCAGTGTCATTCATTCCTTTCTCTTTATCAATGACAGCTCCTTTAGTGCATGCAGCAATGAGGAACAGGCAGACCAGAAACAATGATGGGGACATGTTTCAGTCAGTGTAGGTGCTTCTTGGTATGTTCTTGTGTCTTGTGATATAGAGGACAGCTCCTTTTATAAGATTCTAGCAATGACAAAATTTTAGTTGGGGGAGGAGGCTATACTGCAAAACTACAGATCCATATAGGCTTTACAGCTATACAAATATGTACATTTTTGTGGGGCCCACTTTAAAAAAAGGATATTGCCTCTCTTGTTTTTCATGATTGGAAAATTCATAGACTTGTTTACTATTAAGATAGGCAGTGATAGAAAGTATTAAAAAACAACACAGTAAAGGAAAGTGACTTTGTAGACAAACAGAGAAAGCATTTTCTGTTCAGATGTGCTTTCGACTTAGATATTGGAAACTATGTATATGGGATTGGAAACAGGTGTACATTTCCACATCTTATTACTATATATCCTTAACTGAAAGCCATGCAGGTGCAAATAAATGCTGCTAGCAATAATAAATGTACCAATCTAGCCTTAAAATAATATAGATGCCTTGTAGATACTTCCTTAGGTTCCTGAAGTCATGTGTGTGAGGTCGCTGGTTTGAGCACTCTTTGCTCAAATTTTATTTTCTTTTTTCAATTTTTTTGAGGTCCAAATGCTATTATAACAAATAGACACCAGGGCTTTTATTTGAGGAAATACGGTATTATAATAGTTATGAATAGTTATTTTAAAATTAACTTGGTTTATAGATCTACACTACTGTAAGGGCTGCACAATTAAAAGCAAAAATAGCCATAATTAAAAAATAGAAACAATTTTTGTATATGGCTGTGAGTTATTTTGTCTCAAAAGGAGGAGAATAAAGCTTGTATGGATCTGAATACATAGCTTAAACAATGGGCTGAACCATTTAAGTTGTAACAGCGATAATTCTGAAGTAAGTCAAATGAACCTGTGTCCTATAGAGGGAGACAAGGCAAAAATGAGTAGAAATTTTTGTTATAGTAAAGCTATTACATAGCCAATGCAATAGAAAGCTTATTTTACAATGATAGCTGATAAAATACAATACTTATCGCATGATGCATCATAAAAATATCCCTATAATCCCTCAGATTTAGTAGAGAAGACAAAAACTGGCTGACAGTAGGCCAACATGGCAGAGGACAAGGATTGTACGACTCAGCCTGATTATGCACAATGTAATGGATCAAATGATCTTGTTTCCTATCCCGGTTACGTAGTCTCTAATACCGGTACCGGTATCTATGGTTTTGACAACTAATGGAGTCTTGCCATATGGAATAAATGCAATTCTAGCAAAAGGCTACAAGCTTGCAATTATTATTATTACTAGTAGTAGTATTATTATTATAAAAATTTGGTCAGGTTGGAATAAAATTAGGTCAGGTTAGAGTAGGAGAATTAATGAAATAAGAAATGAGTCAATGGAAAACAAACATGTTTAATGTAGCATGTAATCAAGTGTGGCTCCATCAGGTGTGATTGCCACTTGGACCCAGCTCCACGTTATTATTATTATTATTATTATCGTTATTATTTTTATCATTTATTGAAAGAAAACAAATGGCTACACTACAATATCAATGCACACAACTGAATGCTAAAATCTATCTACTACCAGTACTGTCTACTACATGTACTGTCTCTACTTGTTCAAACACAGTTTATTAGAGGAAGACTCCAGCTAATGCAAGTATCATCAAAGATACTGCAACAATAGGTGTAGCAATTATTCCTGTAGCACTTGATACTCCAGTACAAGCATCAGAGACACTCACTCCACTGCATGAACTTACACCAGATCCAAGGAATGGCTCAGTACAGCAACCTGCTGTACTGCTAAAGGTCCTCAATGCACTAGTACAGCTGGTGCAGCTGCATGATGATATTCCAGTAGTAGATGATATTGAGCAATGCCTATACATATTGCTGAAAGCAAGTACATTAGATGTTGTTCTAAAACTGCGTATTACTCTTACTGGACAATAGTCCCCACCCTGCTGTCCACATATGTACTTCTGTATGTAATTAGCAAAGTATTCTCCTGCATCCCCAGGATAAAGACAACGGTAATATTCACCAATAGCCCCAGCACAATCACTGGTACATATACTGGAATATTGACTATTGAGGCTGCTGAGGTATGAGTCAGTGATTCCTGATGATGTAGAAGGTGGCGAAACAGCAAATTCTGTTAAAGAGCAACCTGAAGGAAGATCAGGCATTGTGCAGGTACTAGTCTGCTTAGGCTCCAGTGGTATATTGTGCCTCTTGTTAATGTGGTGGAATAATTGAAGCAAAGCAGTGTCATTCATTCCCAGGCCCGTAGCCAGGGGGGGTTCGGGGGGTTCGGACGAACCCCCTGTTGTAGCTGCAAAAAAGTTTTAGATTAGCTCCTGTCATGAAGAACAGCACTGCAAAAGCAGGATTAGCATTTTGGCAACAGCGAGAAGCACAGATAGCCATTTTAGCTGAGTCAGCACATGGCTGAGATGCGTAAATTAAGACCACGCCTACCAACCACGCCCGTTTTTGTCAAAATATTCGCTGCGCGCTTTGCGCGCAGCAGTTTTTGAACCCCCTATTTTAAGTTCCTGGCTATGGCCCTGATTCCTTTCTCTTTATCAATGACAGCTCCTTCAGTGCATGCAGCAATGAGGAATAGGCAGACCAGAAACAATGATGGGGACATGTTTCAGATAGTGTAGGTGCTCCTTGGTATGTTCTTGCAATAGAGAGGACAGCTCCTTTTATAAGATTCTAGCAATGACAAAATTTTAGTTGGGGGAGGAGGCTATACTGCAAAACTACAGATCCATATAGGCTTTACAGCTATACAAATATGTACATTTTTGTGGGGCCCACTTTAAAAAAAGGATATTGCCTCTCTTGTTTTTCATGATTGGAAAATTCATAGACTTGTTTACTATTAAGATAGGCAGTGATAGAAAGTATTAAAAAACAACACAGTAAGGGAAAGTGACTTTGTAGACAAACAGAGAAAGCATTTTCTGTTCAGATGTGCTTTCGACTTAGATATTGGAAACTATGTATATGGGATTGGAAACAGGTGTACATTTCCACATCTTATTACTATATATCCTTAACTGAAAGCCATGCAGGTGCAAATAAATGCTGCTAGCAATAATAAATGTACCAATCTAGCCTTAAAATAATATAGATGCCTTGTAGATACTTCCTTAGGTTCCTGAAGTCATGTGTGTGAGGTCGCTGGTTTGAGCACTCTTTGCTCAAATTTTATTTTCTTTTTTCAATTTTTTTGAGGTCCAAATGCTATTATAACAAATAGACACCAGGGCTTTTATTTGAGGATGAATAGTTATTTTAAAATTAACTTGGTTTATAGATCTACACTACTGTAAAGCCCACCATACACTAGGCAACATGTTGCCTAGTGTATGGGGGGGCTTTAGGACTGCACAATTAAAAGCAAAAATAGCCATAATTAAAAAGTAGAAACAATTTTTGTATATGGCTGTGAGTTATTTTGTCTCAAAAGGAGGAGAATAAAGCTTGTATGGATCTGAATACTTAGCTTAAACAATGGGCTGAACCATTTAAGTTGTAACAGCATCAATACTGAAGTAAGTCAAATGAACCTGTGTCCTATAGAGGGAGACAAGGCAAAAATGAGTAGAAATTTTTGTTATAGTAAAGCTATTACATAGCCAATGTAATAGAAAGCTTATTTTACAATGATAGGTGATAAAATACAATTCTTATCACATGATGCATCATAAAAATATCCCTATAATCCCTCAGATTTAGTAGAGAAGACAAAAACTGGCTGACAGTAGGCCAACATGGCAGAGGACAAGGATTGTACGACTCAGCCTGATTATGCACAATGTAATGGATCAAATGATCTTGTTTCCTATCCCGGTTACGTAGTCTCTGATGTAACAGTAAATTAACATTATTGATTATTATTGTATTATTATTATTGTACATGTATTTGGTAGATTCTAGAACATTCATGTGGACTTTCTGTACACTTCTAGGCAATTCATTTTTGTAATCACTCTGTATGTTTCTAGACTGTTCTCTGTACTATATAAGGCATTCTCTCTTTCGTTATTGTTAGTTCTTTGTTAATCATTGTCAATTCGATTATTACAACAGGTTATGAGCCCAGTGTTCGCTCTATAGACTAAGTTGAAGACGTGCAGTTCGAGAGTAGCTTTGAGACTCAGGAAT